ATAAACATAGATGTAAAAATCCTCAAAACAAAAACAAAAACTAACAAACCAAATCTCCTAAATCCAGCAGCACATTGAAAAAACTATCACCATGATCAAGTGGGATTCATCCCAGGGGTGCAAGGATAAATCGCCATACACACATTGATAAATGTGATTCAGCACATCAACAGAATGGAGGACAAAAACCCTATGATCATCTCAACATATGCAGAAAAAGCATTGGATAGAACTCAACATCCTTTCATGACAAAAACTCTCACCAAATAAGGTACAGAAGGAATGTACCTCAATACAATAACACCATGCAAGACAAACCCACACCCAATATCATGCTGAATGAGGAAAAGTTGAAATATTTTCCTCTAAGATATGGAACAAGACAATGATGCTTACTTTTGTTCAACATAGTAATGAAAGTTCTGGCTAAAGCTAATAGGCAAGAGAAAGAAATAACTGGCATCCACATTGGAAAGAAGGAAGTCAAACTGTCCTTCTTTGCAGATGACATGATCTTATATACAGAAAACCCTAAAATCTCTAATACTCCTAGAACTGATAAATTTAGTAAAGTTGAAGGATACAAAACCAACATACAAAGATCAGTGATATTTCTATATACCAACAACAAACCATCAAAACGGGAAATCAAGAAAGCAATCCCATTTACAATAGGTACAAAAAATAATACCTAGGAATAAATGTAGCCAAAAAGGTGAAATATCTCTACAAGGAAAACTCTAAAACACGGATGAAAAAAACTGAGGAGGATACAAATAGACATCACATGTTTATGAATTAGAAGATTTAATATTGTGAAAATGTCCGTGCCATCCAAAGTTATCTGCTGATTCAGTGCACCCCCTATCAAAATACCAATGACATTATTCAAAGAAATGGAAAAAAAATCCTAAAATTTGTGCAGAACCACAGAAGACTCCAAATAGCAACAGCAGATTGTGAGCAAAAGGAAAAAAGTTAGAGGCATCACACTACCAAACTTCAAAATGAAGGCAATAGTAATCAAACCAGCATGGTTAAAGACATAAAAATAGATATGTAGACCAATGAGAGAGAACAGAGAACCCCACAATACTTATTTACAGACAACTGATTTTTGGCAAAGGTGCCAAGAACATTCATAAGAGAATGATAATCTCATCAATAAACTGTGCCAGGAGAACTAGATATCAATATATGAAAAATGAAACTGGACTCCTATCTCTCACCATAAAAAAAGTCAATTCAAAATGGACTAAGAACTTAAATGTAAGACCCCAAACTATGAAACGACCAGAAAGAAACACAAAGGAAATGCTTCAGGACATTGGTTTGGTGAAAGATTTTATGGAGAAGACCTCAAAAGCCCAGGCAACAAAAGCAAATATAGGCAAATGGAATTCTATCAAACTGAAAATCTTTTGCACAGCAAAGGATGCAATCAACAGAGTGATGAGATAACCTGCAGAATGGGAGAAAACATTTGAAAACTATCTGACAAGGGATTAATATCCAAAATAAATAAGGTATTTACGTCAACAGCAAAAACAAAAAATCAAAACAAAAAAACCCCAAGTAACCTACTTTGAAAATGGACAAATGAGCTGAATAGACATCTCTGAAGAAAAGACATACAAATGGCCGACAGGTATATGAACCAATGCTCAACAGTACTAATCATCAGAGAAATGGAAATTAAAACCACAAGGAGATATGACCTCATATCTGTTAGAATAGCTATTTTCAGAAAGATAAAAGATAACAAGTATTAGAGAGAATGTGGAGAAAAAGGAATCCCTGCACACTTTTGGTGGGAATGCAAATCTGTGCAGTCATTATGGAGAATAATATGGAGTTTCCCCAGAAAACTAACAACAGAACTACCATATGATCCAGCAATTCCACCACTGGGTATATATCCAGAAAGAATGAAATCGGTATGTCAAAGAGATATCTGCACTCTCATGGTCATTGCCTCACTATTCACAAAAGCCAAGATATGGAATCAACCCAAGTGTCCATCAACAGATGAAATAATAAGGAAAATATGGTACATGTACACAATTTAACCATAAAAAAGAACAAAATTCTGTCATTTGTGGCAACACTGATGAACTTGGAGGACATTATGTTAAGTGAAATAAGCCAGGCACAGGAAGATAAATATTGCATGTTCTCATTCATACGAGGAAGCTTAAGAAATTGATCTCTAGAAGTAGAGAGTAGAATAGTGGTTAGTAGAAGCAGAGAAGGATAGAGGGGTGGAAAGGATACTTGAAGATTGGCTAACAGATACCAATTATAGCTACATAGGAGGAATAGGGGTTAGTGTTCCATGAAATTATAGAGTGAATATAATTATTTATTGTGTATTTTCAAATAGGAGAGCAGATTTTGATGTTCCAAACACAAAGACAGATAACTGTTTGAGGTGATGCTAATTACCTCAATTTAATCATTATACATTGTATACATGTATCAAAATATCACACTGTACCCCATATGTACAATTATTATATCAACTAAAAATAATAATAAAAGGAAAAAATTTTGAGTGATAGACCATAATTGGAAGAAACATTGCATAAGAAAACTATTCAGGATGAAATAGGCTTGGTACAATTATTATGTCAATTAAAAATAATAAAAGGAAAAATATTGAGTAATAGATCATTACTGAAAAAAAATTGCATAAGAAAGCTTTGCAAGATGAAAAACGCTAGGATGGGCTAGGCCCCAACTGCTTGGCCTCCCACCAGTTTTCACTGTAGTCTCCATAGTGGTAACTTGCAAAGTGTGGTCTGCAGATCATCAATGTCAGAATTATCTGAAATCCCATATAAACAATACAAATTAAGGGGTGGCATCAAAGACCTACTCAGTCAGAAGCTGAGGTTTTCATAAACTCTTTCGGTAATTCTTTTGTTCACTAACATTTTAAAACCAGATATTCTATAAGACAACTTGCTGATAATCTTTAAAAATGCCAGGGTTGTGAACGACAAAGAAAGGCTGAGCCAATGTTCCAAATTAAGAGAATAAAGAAATACGATAATTCAATGCAATTCATGATTCTGAATTACACTTCGAATTAGATAGCAAGTTTGCTCTAAAGAACACTATTGTGATATTTGGCAAAGCTGAATTATATGTGATACAAAATAGTATTGTATCAACTTGAATGTCCTGATTTTAATGTAAGAGAATGTTCTTTTTCTTAGAGAATATATGTGGAAGGTTTTTAGGGATAAAAGAGCATGCTACAACTTGTACTCAAATGGATAATGGGAAAAAAGACAGACTAGATAGGGAGAGAGAGAAATTTTTTTAATATTCTTGAAATTATTTTAAAACTAAATATAAAAAAAATTGAGAAAGAGAACACCTAAAGAAAAGACAGTACCAGTCTTAGGATAATGCCAGTCCAACCCCCGTTAGATGACTGGGAATTACTGAAAGGCTTTAGGCAGTGGTGTTGCATAGTCAGATTTGTGTTTCTAGCAAATCGCTTTGATGGTAGTCTGAAGGGTGTAATTAAAATGACAATATTGGTGGCAGGGAGACCAACTAGAAAACTGTAATACGCCTGGTAAGTGGATGATGATAAGAATCTGAAAAGAATGATGGTAGTTAAGACAGAGAAAAAGATTATGAGGTAAAATCAGCTGGATTCAGTGGCTGAGTGGATATGAGGGACAGAAGTGAAAGTGAGAAAAAAGGATACTGATCAGATTTGTAGCTGGAGTGGTTATGGAGATAGTACCACTGTCTATGTTATTGAGAATATGGGAGGAAGAGCATTTAGTGTGGAATTAGATGAATTTGAATTTGGATATGTGGGACATCTGTGTGGTGATGCATAGCAGATAGTTAAGTATAAGGCTCTGAAGCTTTGATAAGATGTCACATACAATGTATGTATATGTATATGCGTGTATGTATACATATACACCCATATATATGTATTCACACATGCATACATACAAAGTATAACAATATGACATAATCAAGATCGAGAGTTCATGAAAGGCTGTGTCTAAGAAGATTAAATTTAAATTAAACAGGAATAAATTTAAGGTCAAGCACAACGAACTAAATAATAAGTGAAGAAGTAAAGCATGGAGATGCAACTTAGCAGTAGCACTATGAAAATAAAACATTAAAGGTTTGAATATATGAAATCCAGTATGTCAATATTTTAGGATAACTTTCAAAAGAAGAAATATAATCTTAAACTGCATTAATGGAAACCTGGTATCTATAAAGGAACAAATAAAAATGAGGATATATTTTACACTTGTTAGATAACATCTGCAATACTGTGTTCAGTTTCATTTAAGCTTGAATAGCAACAAAAAAGAGTAAAATGAAATGGTAAAGGGGCTTGAATCATGGTGTTTTATGGGTGGTTGAAAGAAACAGGGAAAGTTTCAGGGAAATAAGTGACAGCTTTTTAAAAAGTAGGTCAGGTATTACAATTGCATTATTTCAAGGAGAATTGGGGAAGTTGAGTCCATCGGAATTATTTACCTTTAAGGGTTCTTTACTGTTTTGTGTTATTAGAGAGAACAGATTAAAAGAGGTGGAGACATTTACAAGAACACATATTTTAAGTCAAAATAAAATAAACTGTTTCAATGCTATAACTCTTTAGCAATGGAATGAATTATATTGCAATTTAGTAAAGTAGTTGTCACCAAGCATAGTCAACCAGAGGTTGGATGAGCCTGGGACCTGACATGAGCAGGAGGTGAGACTAGAGCACTCTCAAGGTTTCTCTCTGCTCTAGGATTTGATAAGGTGGGAATGACAAGATTAGACAATGAGATGAGTATTCTTTTGTTTTGTTTTGGTTTTGACTGGGTGAAATTAAAAGAAAGCAAATTGACATACAGTAAATTTCTACTGGTTTCCCCTGTGTATTTCTAGAGCTAGAGAGAAAAATAACATTCAGATCATAGGGGACCACTCATTACTGTCTGTGCTCCTATTTTACTCACCCAAACCTTGATCAGGTAACTGTCTTCTGAGATAATCAACCATATAATCATCTGGTTCATTTGGCCTTGTATCTAGAGAAGATGGTAAAGATCATAGTAGCATGAAAATATTAATTCCCTCATTTACATATCATATTTTTCATATTTTCTCAAACTGGAAAATGCTAGCAAATAACTTGTAAGACAGTAGTAGTTCAATGAAATTAAAATAAGCAGTCTTCAAATGTTACAAATGTTGCATTTAAAAACACTCATATCTTTTGGGTGAGCAATTCCTTTTCTAGGAACTTATAAAAAATAATTAAGAATACACACAAATAGAGAGTTATAAAGTTTTCATTGTTATTTATAACAGGAAGAAAATTGGAAATAAAATGTAAGTTTAATAATAGGGGTGGCTTAATTAATAGAATAGAATACTTTGCCACCATTTATTTACATATAAAGAGGTTTATAATATACTGTAATTTAAAATTAAAAAGTAAGTTGCAAAATAATGTGACTGTTATATGATTCATTAACATGGTGTGTATGTGGATAAATATGGGAAAGGGTCTAAAATAAATAGCCTAAAGTACAATTTTTACTTTCTTTTGCTTATCTTTATTTCTAATTTTTGACATTAAAATGTTAACAAACGAATACATAAAAGTTACATATAAAAGCAGCTGAACTGCTTGGCTGAATTGTCAGAAAAATAAAGTTTAAGTGAATTGATTATTTTAATTATAATAGTATACTTCCCTTTCCTAGGCATGGTTCTTAGTTCTTATCTCCATTTATACTTTTAACTATTTTGCTACATCATAAACTAAATAGATATATAAATGTGTGTGCATGTGTTTATAATTAGGTTACCTCAAATCCTTTTGGGAAGTAGGTAGATAAAAATGTACAATAAAATTAAGTATTTTAGATAAAATTAAAATATTGCTTAAATTATATGATTTTTTTCCCCCAGAGGACCTCAACTAAAGATAAGGTGATGAAAATTAAGGAAAAAAAAAAAAAAACCCAAAATGTGAGAGAGTCAGTTGAAGATTCACATCAGACTTAGCAGGTTGCAGTAGAAGCCAATGAACAGTCTGTGAACTGATTTCTCTCCTGGGCTTATATTCTATTAAATTATGAAATGAGAGGAAAAAAATGGTTTTTAAAACATAAAATCCCTTTCCCTTTGGGGATATACCTTTCAAAACCTCAAGGATAGCCCTCAAATACGTGGCCCTTTCTGTTCTCCAATGTAATTGACCACTCCTTTCTCTGTGCTCCCTGGGAACCCTAAACAGACTACTGGCATTGTGTCTATGATGCTGCACTTGGCTTGTTGTGTTTTCTTTCCTGATTAAAGGATGAGGTCCTGCAGGAAAGAAATAGTATCATGGACTTTTAATATCCCTAGCACCAAGCACAGTGGCAACCTCAAAGTTGTGGCACCAAAAATTCTTAGTTGAGTAAATGAATTAATTGTTTAGGAGAAGGCAGAAGCAGAATATTACCTTTCACGTCAGAATTTGATTCTTTGTGTCTTTGCAGTAAATGTCCTCTATCATAAACCTAATGGAATGTAGAACCAGAAAGCAAACAATACTATGTTATCAACATGAAATGGGGTATATTTCCTATATGATTTATGGTATTGTGCATTTTTAACAGGCATTTCTCATTTCACCCTTATAGGTTAAGAATGACCAAAAATATAAATCAGAATCTTCTAATATTTTTCACTACACTACTTTTCTTCTGCATCAATGAGTAGAAGAAAATACTGATACTATATTTTGGCAGTAAAGGGGGCTTAAAAACTTTCCACATGACATAGAGTTATTTGTAATGAGAAAGAGACAAAAAAAATGATATGCTTATAATCTCACTCATTTAAATTAGAAGAACATACATATGGGAAGATAAAAGTGTGAAATGGTGAAAAGATATAAAATTATGTAAAAATACATAAACAGATTGCAAAACTGTGGTTATATATAAAAAGATGAGACCAGGCACGGTGGCTCACACCTGTACTCCCAGTACTTAGGGAGGCCAAGGTGGGTGGATCACTTGAGGTCAGGAGTTCAAGACCAGCCTGGCCAACATGGCAAAACCCACGCTCTACTAAAAATACACACACACACACACACACACACACACACACAAATTAGCTGGGCATGGTGGTGGGCACTTGTAATCCCAACTACTTGAGAGGCTGAGGCAGGAGAATTGCTTGAACCTGGGAGTCAGAGATTGCAGTAAGCAGAGATCTCACCACTGTACTCCAGCCTGGGTGACAATAAGAATCTTTTTCATTAAAAAAAAAAAAAAAAAAAAAAAAAGATGAAAATCATTTTTTTGAAGCTTGTAAAGAAGTCCAAAGTTCAATATGAAGTTTGAGGTGGTTTTTTCCAGTTCTGTGAAGAAGGTCATTGGTAGCTTGATGGGGATAGCGTTGAATCTGTAAATTTCTTTTTGCAGTATGGCCATTTTCACAATATTGATTCTTCCTAACCATGAACATGGAATGTTTCTCCATCTGTTTGCGTCCTCTCTTATTTTGTTGAGCAGTGGTTTGTAGTTCTCCTTGAAAAGGTCCTTTAAGTTCCTTGTTTGTTGTATTCCCAGGTATTTTATTTTCTTTGCAGCAATTGTGAATGGCAGTTCGTTCTTGATTTGGCTCTGTTTAAGTCTGTTATTGGTGTATAGGAATGCTTGTGATTTTTGCACATTGATTTTGTATCCTGAGACTTTGCTGAAGTTGCTTATCAGTTTCAGGAGATTTTGGGCTGAGATGATGGGGTCTTCTAGGTATACAATCACGTCGCCTGCAAATAGAGACAACTTGACTTCCGCCTTTCTTATTCGAATACCTTTTATTTCTTTTTCTTGCCTGATTGCTCTGGCTAGAACTTCCAATACTATATTGAATAGGAGTGGTGAGAGAGGGCACCCTTGTCTAGTGCCTGATTTCAAAGGGAATGCTTCCAGTTTTGTCCATTCAGTATGATATTGGCTGTTGGTTTATCGTAAATAGCTTTTATTATTTTGAGATACGTTCCATCAATACTTAGTTTATTGAAGGTTTTTAGCATAAAGGGCTGTTGAATTTTGTCAAAGGCCTTCTCTGCATCTATTGAGATAATCATGTGGTTTTTGTCTTTGGTTCTATTTATGTGGTGAATTATATTTATAGACTTGCGTATGTTGAACCAGCTTTGCATCCCTGGGATGAATCCTACTTGATCATGGTGGATAAGCTTTTTGATGTGCTGTTGCAATCGGCTTGCCAGTATTTTATTGAAGATTTTTGCATCTATGTTCATCATGGATATTGGCCTGAAGTTTTCTTTTCTTGTTCAGTCTCTGCCGGGTTTTGGTATCAGGATGATGTTGGTCTCATAAAATGATTTGGGAAGGATTCCCTCTTTTCGGATTGTTTGGAATAGTTTCAGAAGGAATGGTACCAGCTCCTCTTTGTATGTCTGGTAGAATTTGGCTGTGAACCCACCTGGACCTGGGCTTTTTTTGGGTGGTAGGCTCTTAATTGCTGCCTCAACTTCAGACCTTGTTATTGGTCTATTCAGGGTTTTGACTTCTTCCTGGTTTAGGCTTGGGAGGATGCAAGTGTCCAGGAATTTATTTATTTCTTCCAGGTTTACTAGTTTATGTTCATAGAGTTGTTTGTAATAATCTCTGATGATGGTTTGTATTTCTGTGGAATCTGTGATGATATCCCCTTTATCGTTTTTTATTGCATCTATTTGATTCTTCTCTCTTTTCTATTAACCTGGCTAGTGGTCTGTCTATTTTGTTGATCTTTTCAAGAAACCAGCTCCTGGATTTATTGATTTTTTGAAGGGTTTTTTGTGTCTCTGTCTCCTTCAGTTCTGCTCTGATCTTAGTTATTTCTTGTTTTCTGCTAGCTTTTGAGTTTTTTTTGATCTTGCTCCTCTAGCTCTTTCAATTTTAACAATAGGGTGTTGATTTTAGATCTCTCCTTGCTTCTCATGTGGGCATTTATTGCTATATATTTTCCCCTAGAGACTGCTTTAAATGTGTCCCAGAGATTCTGATATGTTGTGTCTTCGTTCTCATTGGTTTCGAAGAACATCTTTATTTCTGCCTTCATTTTATTGTTTATCCAGTCAACATTCAAAGCCAGTTGTTCAGTTTCCATGAAGCTGTGCAGTTCTGAGTTAGTTTCTGAATTCTGAGTTCTAACTTGATTGCACTGTGGTCTGAGAGACTGGTTGTTATGATTTCTGTTCTTTTGCATTTCCTGAGGAGTGATTTAATTCCAATTATGTGGTCAATTTTAGAGTAGGTGCGATGTGGTGCTGAGAAGAATGTATATTCTGTGGATTTGAGGTGGAGGTTTCTGTAAATGTCTATTAGGTTTGCTTGTTCCAGATCTGAGTTCAAGTCCTGGATATCCTTGTTAATTTTCTGTCTCGTTGATCTGTCTAGTACTGACAATGGGAACCAAAATAGAGCCCGCATAGCCAAGTCAATTCTAAGCAAAAAGAACAAAGCGGGAGGCATCACACTACCCGACTTCAAACTATACTACAAGGCTACAGTAATCAAAACAGCATGGTACTGATACCAAAACAGAGATATAGACCAACAGAACAGAACAGAGGCCTGGGAGGCAACACATCTACAACCATCGAATCTTTGACAAACCTGACAAAAAAAAGCAATGGGGAAAGGAGTACCTGTTTAATAAATGGTGTCTGGAAAACTGGCTAGCCATGTGCAGAAAGCAGAAACTGGACCCCTTCCTGACACCTTACACTAAAATTAACTCCAGATGGATTAAAGACTTAAACCTAAGACCTAACACCATAAAAACCCTAGAAGAAAATCTAGGCAAAACCATTCAGGACATAGGCGTAGGCAAGGACTTTATGACCAAAACACCAAAAGCATTGGCAACAAAAACCAAAATAGACAAATGGGACCTAATCAAATTCTACAGCTTCTGCGCAGCAAAAGAAAAAATCATTAGAGTGAATCGGCAACCAACAGAATGGGAAAAAATTTTTGCAGTCTACCCATCTGACAAAGGGCTGATATCCAGAATCTACAAAGAACTAAAACAGATTTACAAGAAAAAAACAAGCCCATTCAAAAGTGGGCAAAGGATATGAACAGACACTTTACAAAAGAAGACAAACATGAGGCCAACAAACATATGAAAAAGTGCTCATCATCACTGGTCTTTAGAGAAATGCAAATCAAAACTACATTGAGATACCATCTCACACCAGTTAGAATGGCGATCATTAAAAAATCTGGAGACAACAGATGCTGGAGAGGATGTGGAGAAATAGGAACACTTTTACACTGTTGGTGGGAGTGTAAATTAGTTCAACCATTGTGGAAGACAGCATGGCGATTTCTCAAGGACCTAGAAATAGAAATTCCATTTGACCCAGCAATCCCATTACTGGGTATATATCCAAAGGATTAAAAATTGTTCTACTATAAGGACACATGCACACGAATGTTCATTGCAGCACTGTTTACAATAGCAAAGACCTGGAATCAACCCAAATGCCCATCGATGATAGAATGAACAGGGAAAGTGTGGCACATATACACCATGGAATATTATGCAACCATCAAAAACGATGAGTTCATGCCCTTTGTAGGGACATGGATGAACCTGGAAACCATCATTCTCAGCAAACTGTCAAAGAACAGAAAATCAAACACCGCATGTTCTCACTCATAGGTGGCTGTTGAACAATGAGAACACATGGACACAGGGTGGGAAGCATCACACACTGGGGTCTGTCAGGGGGAAACAGGGGAGGGACAGCAGGGGGTGGGTGGGGAGTTCGGGAGAGACAACATGGGGAGAAATGCCAGATATAGGTGATGGGGAGGAAGGCAGCAAATCACTCTGCCATGTGTGTACCTATGCAACAATCTTGCATGTTCTTCACATGTACCCCAAAACCTAAAATACAATAAAAAAATACATTAAAAAAAAAAGAAGTCCAATATGACCCTGCTTTCTGTCTTGAAAGGACTTGCCAATATTATCCAGTTGGAGTAAAAGGGACACCAAACACTGTGGCATTGGAATTGTGACTGCTAATCTTGACTAGTGTACAAATCATTATGTTACCAAGAAAATATTTTAAATGCTCCCAAAGTTTTGTTTCTGTATCTGTCATATATGGATATTAGAAAGAATTTTCCAAAGGGGCCTGAGGAAGATTTATATGCATTATATGTATATGCATTACGTGTAACATAAATGTACATTGATTACATGTATATGCACAGGTATATTATGTGTATATACATGCATATGTGTGTGCATGTTACATATAATGCTTATACATGTATATGCACATTCATGTTACATGTAATGCATATAAAACCAAAATAAAAGTAGACTATGAATTGGAGTTAAAGCTGAAACCCACCTCTTCATATATATAATCCATTGGCAGCAGAAAAATCAGCAAAATCAGTATGAAAAGAGTAAAATGCAAAATTCAAAATTTGATTATTGAAGAAAGAAAAACATTCTAGAAAAAATACACAAATTTAAAAGTAGTGATATTATGTAATCACTAGGATTTGGCAAGACAGGGATTGAAATCAGGTTGAAGAAAATTAGTAAGACTTGATTTGATAAACTCTTGTCATTTTCAGCCCCCATTGGAATGATTCTGTGAACCATAATAAACTATTACACTTATCCCAGAGAAAAATATCACCAGGTCAGTGATCTTATGTACATGAGCTACAATTTCTAACCACAGTAATTGTTTTTGTTGAAAGTCTTCAGAATCAATAAGTGAGAGTGTCTTAGTGGGAAACAAAGTTAACTGATATATTTTAAAAATAATTTACCAATTTTATTTTATGGATGTATTGAAGTCTTATAAGCAAACAAAGTAAGAATACTCAGTTCGAAAGCATGATTTTAAGTTGTCCTAGCCATTTACTTGAGTGAAAATGAGATTGTTCACTCTTTTTGTGAAAGATGAGTAGAAATTTTAAGTGACCACGATCTCCTATTAGCTTATGGGCACACTTAGAATGTATGCAACTTTCTCAAAGCATTTGACCAAATGAAGATCATTTTCCATTTGGAAGTATTTAACGTTAAATATAATGATTTCTTAAAATTTTAAAACCTCCAATCAAGAAAGATGCAAATACATGAGCATTTAATATAAAGGGATTTGTAATATTTTACATTAAATGTAGCTTGGATAGGTGAGGAAAACCACTATGTGAACTATTTATGAGAACTAAATAAATATGTGTCTTGCAATATATACATTTAAAAAATCCCCTAAGAAAACCTATTTTGGTTATTGGGTCCTGCAAATGACTTAACACCGGGGTATCAATTAGAGAATGTTTACTATAAAAAATTTTTAATTCCTATTCATATTACATTCTTGAAATAATGTAATTCTAGAAGGGAGAGCAGAAGGAAAGGAGCATTACTCCTTTATAGCCACCTCTGCTCCCTGCAGTACTAAGCCTCTGATGTTGATCCTCAGGAGTACAGACTTAGGTATATCCACATTCACTTGCGATGGGAGTGGTTTAGGTAGGGCTCTCTTTGTCTCCTTCCCTGACCACATTCAGCTCTTCTTTTCAGACTAATCCAATCAAATTTGGACCTCTTCAAAAGAACAGTTGCAGAAGTCAGTGTTTAAGATTTTTCTTGACTCCAGTTAGGGCTCCTGCTAGCTGTCTTTTTCTCCAGTTCTCTCTGGCAAATTAGTCAGTATTCAGTCTACCTTGTAGCGCCAATGAATCTGCTAGGGTTGTTACAGTAGGTAGCTAATCAGGCATCAGTAGGGCAGGAGAGGGCTCCAGCAAAACTCCACCAGGAACGTCAGGCATCAGGTGATGGTCAGGTGGTTGTTAACGCTCTCTCTAAAATAATAATTGGTTGCAGCCAGCAGCAGGGAAAGGCAGGCTTCCTACAGACAGGAAACACCTGAGACTGGTGATCAGCAGCTTCATGATAAGATTCAGGAGTGAGCTCAAGCATGCGCATCAAGAAACAAAATGGCAGAGTTTAACTGGTATACGAAATTTTAAAGAATTTGACTCAGAGGCAGAAGGCAGAAAAAGAGACTGAGACAAGTTTTAGGGCAGGAGTGGAAGGCAAGAACTGATGTTGCTGTAGACATGTATGGATTTGCTGCAGGTAAGATAACTTCTACCAGTAACATATTTGTCTTCCAGATTTTCTTATCGTTTTTTCTGTTTTTTGTTTTTGTTTTTGTTTTGTTTTGTTTTTTTAACCACACTTGCATTGGTTTTGAGAATGTCCTTAAGCTTGAACTTTTCTTTTTCTGGAAGAGATTAGGAGCCATTTGTTTCATGACCTGAGTTTTCAGCGGGGCAAAATTTCTAAGCTATGGTTTATGAGCTGGGGATGGGGAAATGGCACTCTTCCCTCCAAGGGATACCCTGCTTTAGGAGCTGAACTATAGGTGAAGGGGAGGCAGTAGCTTTAGGTCTTTGCCATTTGCCTCTACCAGTGTGGAACCATCATTTTACAAGCCAAGATAAAGGCAATCAGAGCCCAAGAATTCTCAATAGTGGAGCACGTGAAGTAGAGCCTCTGTCTCATGAATGGGGACTGGGAGAGGAAGGGAGCCCCCATCTCTTGTCTGCACTCACCTGACTTAGCAATGGGTAGCTGGGGGCAGAATAAGAAATACTGATATCCTGCGCCTCCCAGGATAGCCCTTTGGAGGTCTGGGAAGAGGGAACTGTAATTTCTTGTCTACACTAGTGTGGAGTTTGTGTTTTACTGAGCTGCGGAGGCGGGTGGGGGTAGGGGAAGAGACAGTCTTGATTGAAATATCACAGGCTCTCACAGTTTTAAATGAATTTTAGTAGACTTTCTTGAATAGATTTTTGTTTCATTTGCTGTATGCCTTTAAGACTATTTCAGAGACTTTAAATATCTGTTGTTGTTTGTTGTTGTGGATGATAATGTTCCCCAGTTTTGCTGGTGAATGGGTTTGCAGAGCTCTTTGTGCTGTCATGGTAGAAGCTGATCTTTCAGTACCGCTGTTTTTATTTTTACATCCTTATATTCCCATTTAATTTTTCTTAGTTTTAATTTGTTTATTCTTGCTACCCTGGATGCATCTCTGTAAGCTTCCTCAAATACTTTTTAGAATAAGGTAAGTATAAATGCAATTTAATATGGCATCTTAATAAGGCCCACCTCTCATCTGTCAAGGATCTTTTGTGTTTTTATAAACTGTAAATAATATGAACACAATTTTAACTTCTCCCAGGGGAAAATTCAAGTATAAGAAGTGTAAGAGAAAATAACTTGCCATTCTCTTGCATTTATTAAAAAAAAAATTGTAATAACTAGATTAACGAAAATTTACCTTTTGTCCTTCTCTGGCATTTTGGTGGCTTGCTATAGTAGAATTCCTTTCCTTATTTGTTTTCAAATGTTTTTTCTAAGTAAAAGAATCATACTTAAAATCAATATTTAATCAACATATCAAATAGTACATATGCAGACATGCAACTATTTTGAGACTCCCACTTTTAAGAAGATGAGAAGTATTTTATTCCTCCCACTAACTACAACAAAAAATTCTGGGTATTACATAAGAAGCTCTAAAAGGTGGAAAGTAGAAGGCAGACTAGCTAGGGAGTTCAAGGCCAGAAGAGTGGCATGATAATGAGTTCACTGGGTTTTCTTTTTGCTTCATATATTCCCGCTTTAAAGCTGGAGAGGCCAGCAACCCAGAAATGCCAATGAATGCAAAAATTTTAAAAATCCCTACAAAAGCCTGTTCCTTCTAAGCCCAAGGACCAGGAGAGGGACAGCCTATAGAGACCAAAACCTTTTAGATAATAACTGTTCTACTCCAGCCTAACACCACAGAAATGACTGATTCCCACACACACCCTTGCCAACAAAAGCCAAGTGGAAGTGCCTCAACCCCTTCTGCCAGGTAATGTCAGAGAAGGCTAAGCAGGGGACCAGGAAAAAAAGCATGTGAAAAGATATTCAACATTGTTTTTCTTCTTTTCTTTTCTTTTCTTTTCTTTTTTTTTTGAGATGGAGTTTTGCTCTTGTTACCCAGGCTGGAGTGCAATGGCTCGATCTCGGCTCACCGCAACCTCAGCCTCCTGGGTTCAAGCAATTCTCCTGCTTTAGCCTCCCGAGTAGCTGGGACTACAGGCATGTACCACCATGCCCAGCTAATTTTTATATTTTTAGTAGGGACGGGGTTTTACCATGTTGACCAGGATGGTCTCGATCTCTTGACCTTGTGATCCACCCGCCTTGGCCTCCCAAAGTGCTGGGATTATAGGTGTGACCTACCGTGCCCGGCCTTTCAACATTGTATAACTGTTACGGAAATGCAAATTAAAACCACAATGAGATATCACAACACACTTGTCAGAATGACTAAAATAGAAAATAGTTACCACACCAAATTTTGGTGAGGATGCATAGAAAATGGATAAACTGCTCTTAGGAATGTAAAATTATATATCCATTCTGGAAAACAGTTTGGCAGTCTGATAAAGAATTAAACATGTATGTACCATAACTACCAAACCACCTACCAATTGAACTCCTGGGTTTTTTGTCTCAGGGAAATGGAGACTTATGTTCACATAAACCTGTACACTAATGTTATGTTCATAATGGCCCAAAACTGAAAACAACCCACATGTTCTTCAATAGATGAATGGTTAAATAGGCTGTGGTAAATCTATAGCCTGGAATACTGCACAGAAATAAAAAGAAAGAAACTATGGATGTATGCATCAACTTGGGGGTGGGGGATGAGTATTCCAAGAAGGATGCCAAATGATAAAAGTCAATCCCAGCAAGTTACATATTGTGTGATTTCACAGAAATGTGAAAAATATTTGTGAATGGTGAATGATACATGTACAGAAATGCAGAACAGATTTGTGGTTGAAGGGATAACTGCAAGGTAAGGACAGGAGGGAGTGGGTGTGGCTTTAAGAGAGCAATATGAGGGATCCTTATGGTCATGGAAACGGTCAGCATTTTGACTGCATGAATACAAATACCCTTATTGTAACATAGCACTATAGTTTTGCAAGATGTTACCATTAGGGGAAACAGAAAACAGGGTCCTTGGCATCTCTCTGAATTATTTCTCACAGCAGCAAATTAGTTAAAAATTTAATTTTTAAAAGTTAGAATTTAAATACTATTGTTTAATCTGTTTATTCTTTAAAAGGTAACATTTTTATAATGCTAGAAAAATATCTTGAAAATTATGCCTATACCAAAATGTGGCACATAATTAATATCTGACCATTGTAGGGATTCATTTAGTTTTGAACATGATCACACAGAATACAAACTTTTTCTTTTTCCTGTTATTTTTTACTCCAGAGGGTGTGTGTGTATGTATAACTGCCTGAATTGTGGGCATGGGTGTGAATATTTATCCATGAGTATGCTGATATACATATCTGGGAAAGAGAAGGTGTTTGTGAAGTAAAGACTTGCATGGCATTTTAACAAACCCACTAGAATATATAAGTATAATTCTTTAAAGTATTGAGGGTGGATAGAGGAGAAAGGAAAAGATTGGCAAATGGAAGGAAAGGGAGAATGTGATAGCGTAGGAGAGAATACAGGAGAAGTAAAACATTTATTCTTGTGCTATGTGATTGTTTAAAATTTTTTTGAATTTGGACTTTGTTCAAATTTGTTGCTCATGTCCCTAGATCCCATTCTCTCTTCTTCTGGCAACTGTCTTTAATTTTGTTTGGGAATTTAATCCTACCCACTCTCAGTTCTTGAGGTCTGGGTGAATCCTCTGAGGATCTGTCAAATAGCCCAGGCTGAAGCCAATCAGCACAGTCCATCCTGTTAGTTACAGTGAGTGATTTATGGATTGACACATGTCTAAACCAGCCTGATAACAATCATCTTTGCTTTTTTCCCTCCAGCTTTGTTGAAGTCTAAATTGACAAATAAAAATTGAATTGTATATATTTAAGGTGTACATGATGTTTTAAGTATACATTTGAAATTATCACCACAGTCAAGCTAATTAACACATATGTCACCTCACATTGTTATCACCTTTTTAAAATTTTTGTGATTCGAATACTTAAGACCTATTCTCTTAGCAGATTTCAAGTATATAATATATTATTAACTATAGTCACCATATTGTACATTAGGTCTTCAAAACATATTCATCTTACAACTGCAAGTTTATGCCCTTTGCTAACATCTCCCCGACCCCTGGTAATGACGTTCTGTTCTCTATTAGGTCAACTTTTTTAGATTCCGTATAAAAGTGAGATCATGTAATATTTGTCTTTCTGTATTTGGCTTATTTTACTGAGCATAATATCCTCCAGGTTCAAAGGCTAAATGAGATTCTAGTATGTGTACACACACACACACACACACACACACACACTTACACAGACACACACCCCTCATCTTCTTTATCCATTCAACCACTGATAGACACTTAAGTTGTTTCTGCATCTTGGCTATTGTGAATAGTACTGGAATAAACATGGGAATGCTGATATCTCTTTAGCATCTGGGTTTCCATTCTTTTGGATAAATACCAGAAGGGTGATTGCTGGATCATACGGTAATTCACTTTTTAATTTTTTTTTTAGGAACCTTCATATTGTTTTCCATAATGGCTGTAGTAATTTACATTCTCACCAATAATGTATAAAGGCTTCATTTTCTCCACATCCTTGCAAACACAATTTTTAAACTTTTTGACCTAGCAGGTGTAAGATGGTATCTCATTGTGGTTTTGATTTCAATTTCTCCGATGATTAGTGATGTCGAACAACTTTTCATATAACTGTTGGCCATTTATATGTCTTCCTTGGAGAAATGTCTATTTAAGTACTTAGCCCATTTTAAAATCAGCTTAGTGGGTTTTTTTGCTATTAAGTTGTAGGAGTTCTTTATAAATTTTGGAGATTACCCCTGTTCAAATATATGATTTGCAAATATTTTCTTCCATTCCATAGGTTGCCTTTTCCCTCTATTAAATATTTCCTTCATTGCACAGAAACTTTTTGGTTTGTTATAGTCCCACTTGTTTATGTTTGTTTTTGTTTTCTATGCTTTTAGTGTTATAGCCATTAAATTATTGTTAAGATCAATGCCATGGAGCTTTCTCCTATGTTTCTACTAGGTGTTTTATAGTTTCGGGTCTTATATTTAAGTGTTTAGTCCATTGTGAGTTGACTTTTTGTGTGTAGTATAAAAGTCCAGTTTCATTCTCTTGCATGTACATATCCAGTTTCCCAACATCATTTTTTTGTTTGATATAGGGTCTCATTCTGTAGCTCAGGCTGGAGGGCAGTGGCCCAATCATGACTTACTGCAGCCTTGATCTCCTGGGATCATCGATCCTCCCACCTCAGCCTCTGGAGAAGCTGGATAATTTTCTTATTTGTTTTGTAGAGATGGGGTCTCACTATGTTGCCCAAGCTAGTCTCAAACTCCTAGGCTCAGGTGATTCTTCTGCCTTGGCCTCCCAAAGTGCTGGGATTACAGGTATGAGCCACCACAGTTGGCCACCAATACCATTTTTTCAGGATACTATCCTTTCTTCATTGTGTATTCTTAGCACCCTTGTCAAAGATCAGTTGACTGCATATGCATGGTTTTATTTCTGGGATTTCTATTTTGCTCCATTGTCCTGTATGTCTGTTTATATGCCAGTACCATATACCTTTGGTTATTGTAGCTTCGTAACATATTTTAAAATCAGGAAGTGTGATGCCTCTAGTTTTGTTGTTCTTGGTCAAGATTGCTTTAGCTATTTGAGCTCTTTTGTGGTTCTATACAAATTTTAGTACTGTTTGTTCTATTTCTGTGAAAAATTGTCATTGAAATAGGTATTGCATTGAATTTGTAGAGAGCTTTGGGGAGTATGGACTTTTTGGCAATATTAATTCTTCTGATTCGTGAACACAAAATACCTTTCCATTTATTTGTGTCTTCTTCAATTTCATCAACGTTTTACAGTTTCCACTGCACAGATCTTTACCTCTTTGTTAAAAATTTCCTTCTCACTGGGCACAGTGGCTCACACCTGTAATCTCAGCCCTTTGGCAGGCTGATGTGGGTTGATCATCTGAGGCCAGGAGTTTGAGACTAGCCTGATCAATATGTTGAAACCTTGTCTCTACTAAAAATATAAAAATTAGCCGGGCATGGTGCTGTGTACCTGTAGTCCCTACTACTTGGGAGGCTGAGGCAGGAGAATCGCTTGAACCTAGGAGGCAGAGGTTGCAGCGAGCTGAGATGGTGCCACTGCACTTTTTGAGGGAACTACTAGAAAGGGAGGATGTCTGAACCAGACTTAGTGTGGTGAGGATGTGAGTGGAGGCTGGACTTCTGTAGTTATTTTACCACCAAGAGAAGAAAGTCTGTCTGAGAATGGAACCAACCAAGAAAAGG